AAGATTAGAGGTGTTACAAGAGAGGAACAAACATTAAAAAAAGAAGGGGAGATAAGGACGATAGATGTTTCATAGGAAAGAAGAAGCAAACCATACCAGAGCACCCACCAACCACCCACGCATAGACTTAAGTTTTAATTTTAGAAGAGGTTTTACGGCGCTCGCAATTGCATTAGGTCATATGAACGCCAGAGCATAGACTAGTCGATTTTAAATTTTTTTAAAATAGTTTTTTTAAACTCACCCACCCACACAATTTAGACAATTTAGGAGGCGGGCTTCCGGCCCTGCCTGTTATGGTCTAGCCGAGCTGAGAGGATTAAATTTTCCGCTCAGAAAGACTGAGATACTCGATAAATATAGTAAAGTTGTTCCCGTATCCGATCCGGACATTGGGGATTGCCTTGTTAGTGAGACAACCTCCTGGGCATTCGTCATATTGTGGTAGGGCGGCCAGTTTCTTTTCACGCCGCCTTTACTTCCCCAACTCGAAGTCAGGTACCCATTACTGCTGTGTGGGCAGAAGGGGGTGAAAAAAATACTGGATACTCGATAAAAATGTTCTACCCACGCGGGAATCAAATCCCGTCTTCTTCGTGAGCACTGACTAGTTACTTCCTCAGAAAGACAAAATTCTGACATTTTGGCCGTTTTGAGTTACTAAGACCATGGGGTCAGAAATCATATGGTCTATCTGCTCTATGGGCTCTATCAAAATCGGAAGATAATTCTCAGTCATGATCAAAGTATTCAAAGAATTGCATTCTAAACTTTTTTTTTTTCAAGTCAAATTTCTCCAAACTAGATACTGAGCAGATAAAACTTTGTAATTCCGAGGCGGCGTATTTGTTATCTCCTGAGAAATAGACCCGGTCTACATGATTAGATCAGACGGGGTCGGGTTTGGTAGTGGTGTCTGGCCAGTGCTCACCATATCAAATAGATCTCTGATGTGCTTGGAGTTCTGTTTTACTTTCGAATTCCGCACGCAAACAAAAGATATGAACTCTCGATGTCATGTGGAATGTAGTAGCCTTTTAGGTGGCTCTTGGCCACAATTTCGTAAATATAGCCCGATCACGACGCAGAAAAATAAAACATATGTGAGACAGCATGGTGATATCAGGCGCTCGTCAAAACAATGAAATCAAAGAAACCTGTGGGTTTTTTTACGTGGGGCAATTTTTAAAGAATTTTCTTTTGTTGGCTCAACACGTTTTATATCCGCTAGAAAACACATTTTTGTACGGGGGTTACTGAAAATCGTTGATTAAAGACACAAAACATGTACATGTACAGCTTCAAAGGAGTCTCAAGCTTTGGAAGTCACCAAACTTACCTTCATTTCCTCCTAATTTCACTTCTGAAACCAGGCGACCCCATCTCCTTTAATCATAAATATCTCAAATTCTGTTCAAGAGAAATGGGTCGAATTTTCATCGAAATATAGACAAATAAACAATCTTTTAGATGATACCAGTAACTCCAGATGCCCAAAATTTGACGAGCGCCTGATTCTATCACGTCGTGGCTCATATTGATTTGGGGGAATTTCATTTTAAATTGCGACAATATAGTAGTTCTTGCCTCTTCTGAAAAGAAAATGTCGCCGTCTCCAAATACACGAAACGATATCAAATACAGATTTGACGAAACCTTTCACAGTGTGCACTGCTTCTAGGATCACAGTTGAAGTATCAGATGTATGGGTCAGTGTTGGACACTGCCCGAACGCTTGAGTCACGGTATAAAAACACTCCATCCTGTGAGAAATTTGTTAGCCTTGTACGTACATTTGGTTCTACTTGCAAAACTCCAAGTCTTTCTGCATTTATATAGATCTAGTCTGAGTCAGCAGGCCTAGCAGAGAGTCACTAAAGCCAATAAAAATTCCCACGGGGGGAAATAGTTGTTACTTGGCTCTGGATTACCACTGAAACGTCAGACATTACTACTACCATACCTTCCCTCTACCTTTTGTGGAAAGACAGTCGTGCCTAAAAAATAAAAAAGAAAGAAAAGGATCTTAGCACCTTTTATCTCAGAGAATTAGGACATTGCAGCTGTTGCTTAGTTGTTTTGATTTGTATTGATTTGTTTTTGTCACTCATTCACGAAATTGTTTGCCTACATATTATGACCACCACCAGTTACATAGTGTGAGTCCATTCCTCAAAAATGTAATATTTCCATAGACTGCACACTTTAGGCCACCTAAAAATCTATGTCGACTAAGAAATGGTGTTGTTCTTTTTTTTTCTGTTTGTTTGTTTTTGTTTTGTTTTTAGAATACTTTTTGACCAAAATATGCACCAATTTCTCTAGGTTTTATATTAAACATTTAAAATTATTTTTGTAGCACATCCGACACTAATAAAGAAGAAAAAACAGTCACCTGAACTGCTTGTGACGACGTCTGTAGTATTAAAACAGAGCTTGTTTGATGCTACTTTTTTGTCATGACGTATCTTGTGGGTCAATACAATAAGCAGGCACAAAG